TAATTGAACGTAGAAACTGAGCATAAAACAGGTAGTTCAAGTAGTTAGACTGAAATGTAAGCATATATCTTTTGAAAGATAATAGCATTTTTGGTTTTCATGACCATTAACTGATGCTTCAATCACATTTTGTGTTCTCATTGTAGTGAAATAACTGATAGCAAAAGATGCTCTAGATTTAAATGCACTATAATATACTCAAAGTTTATTTTTCCTTTAAGTTGTTTTAACCTACAGTGGAAAATTTTCTGAAGCCCTCAATAACTGTTTGCAATTTAGAATTAAATATGCTTCCTGCTTCTAGTGGTGCTGCTGGGGCAGGTTACCTAACAGACCTGTCACTTTTCTTGTGCAGTTGTTTCTGTGGCATTATTTTCATTGGCAAATATACGACATGATAGAAAAGGAAATCATTAGGTGCTCTCAGTATTGCTGAGGCATGGAGCTAGAGCAGGTCAGTCACTGCATTTTGCAGATTGTGACATTTTAAATTACCTGTACACTACTGGAAGCAATCTGTGGACCTAATTAACATCTCACCTAATTAAAGTCAGGAACATATGTAGAGAATTCTAGATAGTTTTGCACTGCCTTTATTTATTAAATACCACATTATTCAGATTTGAGTCTCTAATTTCAGTGTTGAAAACTTCAGGTTTGTGTGCTGTTTTCTTAAGTGGGAGTAACTTTTTTTTTCCTCCTTCAAGTAATCAATGCGCTGCTGAATGAGTTCATTTTAATGCACTCAATCATGCCTCTAATGTTTGTAGCTTACGGGCGCAAGCATCAGTAATGCAGGAATGTTATATGGCTTTAGTTTGGGCCATTTCATAAAATATTCATGGAATCAAAAATGTGCATCAAAATAGCGGCTGGGAGAATTACATTTATGTGCCTGCTTTTATGGCAGCTTCGCATTTAAACCCATTTGTGTTAATATCTAGTCAATCTTTCTACTTAAAAAAAAGGGCAAAATAGTAGTCTCCATATTGGTTTTGGTTTGGTACCTATTTTGATATAGCAAATCTGTATTTTTGGACTGGGTTTTAAGGAGAATTAGATACAAACTTTTAGATGATCTAAAAACATTTCTCTTCCATATTTACAAAATTATATTGAATTGTTTTGCTTGAATGAATAGATTTAATTTTTTACTTTGAAGCAACGCAGTGAAAACTGTAGCAAAAATCTGTGTCAGTCTTATATAATTGTTTAAAACTGATTTTCTACTCTCAAATTTCTATTGTGACAATGTTAGCCTCTCATATTTAAGGTTAAGCTATTGCTGATGGGATCTCCTTTGTTATGCCCTGAGTTATATTAAACTATAAAAAACCACAGAAGTGTAAAATTTTATAGTGGTAGTACATATGTTGTAAGAGTTACCATTCTGGTTTTTGATTCCTTTTATAAGAAGAGAGATATCAGAGATTCTCCAACTCCATTTGGTATCCACTGAGATAAATTCTGCATGGTGGTGTGAGAATAAATATGCAATTGCTATTAATGTTGCCAACTGAAAATAGCTTTACTGCTTTGTGTAACATTCTGCAGATAGATTTTTCAAACATGGAATTCCTAGAAACACCTTGTTGATTTTATCTTTGAATTCCTAGACGTATAAAAATCTGCAAACTGTTTCAAGAGATTTTCTTACTCCATTATTTTTCCTCTCATTTTTCTTTTTTTGGTCTTTGGTTTTTTTTTTCAGTTCATAATAAAAGTAATTTAAAACTCTGACTTGCCATTGCCTAAGTGAGATAAAAATGCTCTTATCCTCAGAAATGTTCTGTAATTGGCTAATTGTTTTTTTCGAATGTTTTTCAAGATTTTCAGATGGTGTTCTATATATGTCTGCAGCTAACACTTGCAGCAGTTCAATATTTAAAAATTAGAATGCAGTGACCTGATCAGTTCCAGCTGAACTGACTCGTGACAGGGACTAAACTCACCAGCCCCCTGAAAAGATGATTTTCCCACAACATTTGAGTTTCACAGAAACATTATGGAATAAATAAATAGGCTGATGTGTCATTTGCCAGTGGCAGCAAGGGATTTCAGTTTATATTCATGGAAGAATAAATTCCAAAGTCTAAAACATTTTACCTTCCACAAATTTGAGAAGTCTCCAAATAGCTCATTTTATTTGAAAGAGTCTTCAGTAAGCAAATTCTCAGCCATGTAGAGACTTTCATGTCAGGAATTCCACCTCTTCCTTGTCTAGGAAACTAGCATGTATTTTGGCTTTCTGTCCATCACTTTGTTTTTAGTATTTCTGTGAGCAGATTCTTTTACATTTTACTGCGTAACCTTTCTTGGTAATTCAGTGAAGCCAAATGTAATATAGATCCATTTAAATATTACCAAAAAATAATCATATTGCATTATAATTTTGAAACTTGGTGTAGATGGATTGTTTCCGAAGAGGCTTCACTGAGATCTGTCAAAAGGAGTGTCAGGTCACGGCTCTTAGGCTTAGGTCAACTCTTGAGAACTGTGGGGTGCATGCAATGTATGAGTTCCATTTCTAGTCTGATAGAAACTTTCACAAGGAGATTCTGCACAAGAGGGAGCTGGGGTAAGAATCACCACACCTACAGTTCTAACAACCTGAAAGTAGTCCTTAAGATTGCAAGTTTTATTTACCTAAACAATGTGTCCTGTTAGGTGATCATGTTAACAGTGTCAGGAGAAACTCAGATACTGTTCAGCTGGGGGTGATACCACTTGTTTGTTTGCTGCTTCCCATTCTTACTAAAAGGTTTTGAGTAACACATGAATCAAATTCTGTTAAAGAATCCATTACATATGTAGTGTATCCCAATGACTCAATTGTATTATAATACCCTTTCAAAATAACAAACTATTTATTAATGAACATGGGGGAGAATTCCAAGGAAGAGTCTGTATGTGCTTATGAGAAACCAAGTGAACAAAATGCTGGCCTAGAGATTAACATTAAATTTTAACTCAACTTTCAATCATTTGTCACAAAGCCCAACATGAGCCTCTTCAATATCTTAAATCTGCCTTTAGCAACTTGGATAACTGGAATTCTGTTGACTTCTGTGTTGACTGTGCCCTAGGAAGTTAGCTGAACGGGATAGACAAAGACAGATTGGAAGCCTCTTGAGGTTTTCATCTAACTTCAGCAAATATACATCTCTATTTTTTGTTACATCTACTATCAGGGAACAGCTTGTAACTGGTTGTTGTAATTTGCCTTTGTCTTTCTATTTGTGCAGTCTGATGTCAAGCGTGTGATATTTTGGAAAGAATGTACAGAACTTTTCCTGTTTTCCCAGTGTTTTGGGCCATCTCTCCAATACCTGTCCCTAGCTGGAATGGAACTGAATAAAGCCTGCTGTCTCCCCTTTCACCTGGCACTGCACTCTTCAGCACCTATTTTCTCCTCTGGGATTCCTACATGAATTGTAGGCTGTGGAGCCATAAAATTATTTGTCTACGGCACTCATTTAATTCATTGCATCTTTGAAAGAGGAGTTTCTTGTGCTTGTCGGTTTTAGCTGAACTTGTTTTAATCATCAGAGAAACTTAATATGAAAATAAATTCAATTCTAATAAAGATGAGTTATGTTTTATATTGCAGAGTTGAAAGCATGGTTATAAAGGGGTAACATATGCAAAAGACGAATCTAAATTGAGTTAATAAGAGAAATCTGTCATAGCTGTTCTGCAGCCTCTAGGTTGGCTGGAGGCCTGGGAAGAAAACCTCATTTTCTCTAGGAATGCTTGAAAAAGATCATTCTCCAAGCTTTTCTCCCTTCCTTTCCAATGACTGGGAAACAACTTTTCTCCTCCCTGGTTCTTTTTGCATCTTGAATTCAATACTGTAAAAAAAGACTGCAAAGCAGCAATAGTTCCTTGTAAATCACATCTCAGAAGAGAAGTAAATTACAAACATCTAAATTAACATACTTTGTGGTTTGTTTCAGCTGTTAATACCAATACAGTTGATAAACTGATGATCTAATGGACAAGATTCCTTCATCATACACGCACAAACTTATGAAGGCAGGGTCACATTCACCATTCTCCCTGCTAAAGAAAAGTCTTTGCTAAACAAGATATTGTGACCAGAATGCTTTCTTTAAAATTATTTTTAATTTAGTCGTCTTATCTTACCTGCTTCCCAGCAATACCCATTATATATGAAAAAAAGCTTATCTGTTCTTTCCAAGAGCTTTGAATTTACATTGTCCAGCAGGTATGGAAATCTATATTGAATTTTATGCACAGAGGTAAATCCAGCTGAAGATAGAGGAAAAACTACTTGAATGTGAAAATGAATTGAATTCTCTCTTCAAAGTTTCCTTTGCCTTAAAGATGTTTGAGTAACTTGCATTTGAAGACCTTGGAGTATATCACTTCAGGCTCAATAATTAATCTATCAATGGTTAATGCTATTGCAGTAAATTTGCTAGATAAACTCATCAAAGTTGGCCTTGCAATAACTGTTGAATAAATGCTTTGCATGATAATTCTTTTTCTCATTGATTTAATTTGTTTGAATTAAGATTTTTGGTTTTTCCCCACAGTTTTGATACCTTTATCATCTACACTTCAAATCTTTCAGCACAGGTTTTCTTTATGGAAAAAGAAACTTGAGGAATGGTCTCCATTGTGATTGTTTATGCATAGATGTGATTTTGGTATATGAGAACCACAAAGGCTTTATGAATCTAGAATAAATTTATTTTTTAGAATATCCTGACTTTGCATCCCTGGAATCACACCCCTTCAACATTAGGAATATACAAAAGAAAGCTAATTAAAAATGTGACAAATTTAAATTAGAGCGTTACTGGGTACTGTGAAATTTGACCATATTTTCCAGCTGTGAGTTACATGTTGGAGTCTTGAAAAATCTGTGGAATGTTTGTCTACAACTTACTTTTAATGATAAAATTATTATAGACTAAAAACTTCAACAATTTTTGTTGATTGCACTGATTTTAATCATGAATGATGTTTTTCAGGTCACGTCATGAAAGCTGCTGAGCATTTTGAAGCATTTTATCAGCTAACAGAGGGCTCATCATGGAAGGATGAGACAGGCCGCACTTATGCTTCACTGGCATGTCAGCATCTCTGGAGAATTTATACATTGGTAGCAGACAAAATGCTGGAAAATAAAGAACACCAAGAGGCCATCAAAACGCTAATAAAAGCTTTAAGGATGGCAAAAGAAGGTAGGTAGAAAATAATGCTTTCTCATACCTTCATTTGATGTGCAGGCCATGATTTTCCCAAGAGTAAAGTAGAAAGTGTCAACAATTTGACTGGATGATTATTTCCTATGAAACTCAAAGATAAATGCTACCAATACACTTGCAGATCTCACTAAAGGAGAAATGCCTTCTTGCCGACAACAAAGAAACTTTTAGGTTCCTCTCCAAAAAACCAGACAACATTGTGGGAACAATAATATCAAACTGTGAACCCATAATCAGAAAGTGAGGTCACTGATGGAAGGGTGAAGTGATTTTGATTGGCTAGTCATTGTTTGGCAGTTTTTGACTGATATTATCTGCTGGAAAAGTTACCTTTTCACTCTACATAATTACTTAGTTCTTGAAAAAAACATGTTTTTGTCATAAGCAAACAAAATTTTCTATCTTAATATACATAAATACTTCTAAACCTAAAGTAAAAAATTACAGAATCGCAGAATAGCAGAGGTAGGAAGAGAAAGCTCTGGAAATCATAAGGGTGTCCTGAGCAGGCAGTTCAGAACTACATCCAGTCAGGTTTTGATATTTCCACAGGTGGAGCCTCCATAACCACTCTGGAAAAGATTTACCACTGTTACCCTCACAATGAAGAAGGTTTTTGTTTAAATACATATTAATTCAATATTTATCAGTAGATCCATTAGGTTTTTTTAATTTAATAATGTATGCCGAACCTTTAGTCTGTGACCCAGTCTTTGATTAGTAGTTGGAATAAATCAACTGTCAAAAATGGCTAAAAATGAAAATATTTTCCAAATTTTAAAATGAGTTCTGTGATCAGTAACATTATAACTGTATAGGTCGTAATACAAGCTTGCAGTGTTTTCTATAGCTATTATCTATAATATATGCTTAAATTACAGCTACAGTCAAACTCCTCTTCTTAATATTATCTGTAGTGAGTAGAAGGACTGGTGATGAAATTCCCTATGGATGCCTTCTTATTACTAGTGAAAACTGCTGGATATTAGGTGATTGTCAAAATGGATCTGATGTCTTTCCAAAACTTATTTTGATCAAGTAGATACTCTAGTTACCTTATTTCAAATTTCAAATCAATCACTTTCACAGCTTCCTGAAGCAAATATCACATATCACTATGCTAAATTTAAGTTTTAGGAAATTCTTTCTGAGGATTTCTTCACTCCTCATTCCAGACCCATACTGGCTAGTGGATGTTACCTGTAATGTCCATTCTGCCCTTCTGGACCATCATCTGTATTTATGTATTTTAGGAATTAGGATTAGATATTACCCTCTTCAGACTGCCAAGTCCTCTTAAGCAAGGAAGGAAGTTCTTTATGTCCCTAGGAACTTTTAACTTACTATTCTTCTGTGAAACTGTATTTCTGTATCCTTTTCTCTTATTATGCCTTTTAAGGGGTATTGAATATTTGAAAAGACCATCAGGTTTTTGAGTTATGGGCTTTTAATAGTGGTAAGTAACCTATTAAGTGCTATAGATAGAGCACTGCTATGGTCTCATCAATTATTATCATTCAGAGAGTTTCAGAACTAGGTATAGGTTTCTGTGTGTTTGGACAGAAAGAGTCTACAGCTGTAAGCAGACAATCTCCCTTTTCATTGTAACTATATATATTTATGCATTTTACAAAATACCTTGATATGCATGTATTCTTCAGGTTGATTTTTCATCATTTATTGTGTTGGAGAAGCTGGATATTGAGCAAGAGAAAAACTGGATTTTTGGCTATTTTTAATGTAATTTCATCTACAGAGTTTTATATGGCTGCTCATGTTCCAGGGGGAAATTTTTGAATATAGTGTGATACTTTAAGAACTACATAATTTTTTTCTATTAATTTTGGTATCAAATAGATTATTTTCTCTTGAAGGAGCCATGCAAAAGGACCAGCAGTGTTTCTTAGACCAGTATCAGTGAAATAAAGCCTGGCATGGAAAGCTGGGATGCGCCTTAGCAATACCCCAGAATTTTCTAGAAGTACTGCTTGCAAGTATAAGTTACCCATTTTTTAGCTATTTTACACTACAGTAGCTAGTAAAACAGGGGAATAAGATGAAACTCATCAACTGGTGGTTCTCTCTTGTTGTTTCACTAAGATTCACCTTAGCAAAAGGTGTAGGTCAAGATACATTTTGTGTCTATATAGTAAGGTTTATTACCTATCTGTAGCCACTTTTCTATTATATTGAGTATATAGAGAAAGACTACTATAATTTTCTAATTTGTGAAGACACTAGGCCTGTGATTAAACATTTCATGACAAAGAACATTACACATGTTAATTTGATTGTACTTTATTACTGGAAGATATTTTCTCTGATTTTGCTGAACTTCCTTGGTGAACTCCATAGCCTCTATTTTCAATTACCGCTGTATGTTTTTAGAAAGAGATATGTGGCGGGGGTAAGGAAAGGGAAAAATTTATTGCAGTATTTTAACATCTGTATGTTATCTGTATTTAAGAACCTGCAAGGTCTGTCTGTACCAATTTTGTTTCTTTCAGATCATGCTAGTAACTCTACTTTTAACCCTTCCTGTAGGAGGTGATATAAAGATGCATGGAGAAGCAGCCTATTGCTTAAGTCTAGCGTATCATTTTTCTGGAGAACATGAGACAGCATTAGCAGTAAGTTTGTTCTTTGCTTTAGCTTTCACAGTGCCTTCCTCTGCCACCTCAGCATGCTTGGCATTTGCAGAATGGAAAAAACTTGGAGAGACTTGGCTCATGAACCTTTCATAACTTTATCTAGTTCTGTAGGCAGGGATCCATCAAGCATCTGTGGTTCCAGTAAATTCCAGAACTGATGGAGTCCAGGTTTCCATGCTTGGATCTGTAGAAATAATATAAATTGACAGTTTGGGTTATATGTGACTAGCCTTCCTTTTCCTGTATATATGCAAATTTCAAACAGTCTCTATTTAGTTAGGGTTTTGTATAAAACACCAGTTTTGCAAATTAGTCTGGTACAGTGTATTTATGAGCAACAATGAAAAATACATCAGTTCACACACTGAGATTGTTAGAACATCAGTAATTTAGAAGAAATATGAATTGCTTTTGAAAAGCTGTAATGCTGATGCAATTCCTGCTGTGGAGACTTGAGTTCAAACTCCGCTTCTCATGTTTCCCTTGAGCCTTAATAATTCTAAGACAGTGAGAGCTCTGCATGTGGAATTCTAGTCTAGAAGGAGGGTTTCCCTGCCTCCTCATAGGTCAGTGTGAGAGGAAAGATAAGCAGGAACTTGATTCTTTTGTGCCAATCATCAGTCACAGTCCTCCATGATCCTCTTAAAAATGTTCTGTAGAAAATAAACTGGAATATTTTGTTCATGATTATTGCAATTAATCAGGTGGATAATTACTCTTTCTGTTTGTTCTTGTAACTTCAGAATGTCTCGGTATTCTATTAATGAACTAGTTTTATAGCAGTCATTCATTGTGTTGTGATGTTTTTTGTTTTGTTTTTCTCAGAAGCAGACCAACAGAAGTCCCAGAATAAATTCAGCATATGTATCATTATTACTTGCTTGGCTCTTGCAGTAGGTTTTAGATTTCTGTCTGATTTAATTTTTGTTGCACTTTTTTTAGAAGTTATTGACCACCTTTATACATTATTCTTCAATGCTGAAAGTTCTATCTTCTGCATAAATCAATTGAATGCTGGAAAGGGGGAGCCTGTTCTCAATGAATTCCAGTTAAACCTGTAGCTGAATGTAAAAATATTTCAAAACTAAAAAGCTCCGTATAATTTTATAAGATTGTATTTAATAGTTGCAACAGCAGCAAGAATATAATATTTGATCTCTTACAAGAAAACAGTATGATAGATTAGACTAGAATTTTTTGTACTTTGTTTTTTGCCTGACAAGTATGCTAGCTTTCTTACCTGAGCAACTTTTCTCAGACTCTCAGAAAGTTAACTTTTTGTTTCACACATACCGTGTGAATTCTGAAGAACAGCAAGCAAATCTGCTAAATAAAAAATCCTGCATCTTAATCTCTCCAGAATATAGAGAGGATCAAACTTCAAAGTGTAAAAAATATTAGTTGTCCTGGCATTGTTTTCTCAGAATAAATTTTAACTAAGTTTTGTAGTTATTCCTTTCCCTTCATTGTTCCTCCATGTCTCCTGTCAAAAAGTTACAGCAATCATTTGGAAGTTGCATTTCATTTTGTTGCATGCAGAATTTTTTTTTTTAAGGAAGCTTCTGAAACTCTATTTTTTTAATGTACTATTGCTCATTTTAAATATATAATCAATAGGTAGTACCTAATGTTTTTAGTCTTACCAAAATACCTGGCAGTTAAGGAAAGCAATGTGCAAGGGGAAGAAGGTCTTGGTAGTACAAAAACAAGTTATACATCATGTTAAGAATATAAAATGTTATTTTAACAGTAATGGAACTACAAGCACTTTTCAGTGGTAATAACACAGTGACATTTTCTAATATAATGGCATTACCAATAGTATTACATGAAAAGCTTTTTAAGTACTTTTGTTTAAAAAATACACTGTGTTCTATAGGATGAGGAAAAAAGGGTACAGTTTTAGCTCCTTTTGTCTTTTGCAGTGATCAGTATAGACAGCAGTAAAATATCAGTGGTTGACAGTACTGTTGAGCAGTTGTCTTCACTCTCCAGTTGGAAATCATTGCCTAAAATTTCCCCTTCTGCTCTCAGTTTAATGGTCTCTGTATCCAAGGGGAGCTCAGATGCTTACGGAGATGAAATCATTGCCTCCTATTCCCAGGGGCCCACTGGTTATCATTACCCATAACATGCAGACAATACTGCTAGGAGCCAGTTTGCCTCATGGTAATATGTAGTTCATCACCAGCTTCTGTAGCATGCTAAAGAGGTCTTGCCACACAGCTTGGGACTATTCGGATGTAGACTCTGGGGTCTCAGCAGTTATTTCCCTGCTTTGCATCAGTTTTCATCTTCTTTATCCCTTTGTGCCGTGGTCCACCTCAGGCAGTCTCCTTCTAGGGGAATCTGAAAGGAGCAGCTGTTACAGGCACCATTTCCTCCAATTGTTGCCACTTGGTTCCTTTTGCTCTTTAGCTTCCCTCCCCCAACATGCACACACAGGATCATGCATATGAACTTGTTTCTCTTTCATTCATGTCTTCTAGCAGGGCAGAGAAGCATATGTTCAAAATAGTCATTATCTGATGCAGTAATTAAAGACTGAAATTATTAAGTTGCAGCCTATAAAAAAAATGCAGTCACTTTGTATCAAATGGGCTGGTTTTGTTAGAGAAGGTTTTTTATTTGCTTGGGACTTAGTGTTTAACGTGATTTGATTTGGTGTATAATCTGTATAAATTAGTTTAATTTGATTTGATATTATATATGATTGATTTCAGTGGAGCTACTCAGATGTAAAAATATAAATGTGTGCAAGTTTAAAAGCCCAAGAACTAATTACACTCAAGAGCAGTAGGATATGTTCATAATGTTTTTCATATTGTCTGGTTTATAATCAAGCCTAATGGTTTTTCCACAAAATATTAATAGCTCACATTATATAGATTTCATCTTAAACATTATAGATTTTTGTCATCGAGGGTTCTCCATCTAGGCTAATTATAAAATAAAAGTTACTGTTTACTTATTTTTTCCTCAGACTCATTATACAAGCAAAGTTTTAAGTGAAACATTTCTGTGTCATTAGAAATCTTGCATAAGGTATTATAATCTAATGCTTGATGGGGGCATTTTTGTGTTTTTTTTCTTAGACTGAGCTTTCAAGAATTCTTTGAAGTGTAGGTATCATGGGTTTTTCTCTTCCAATTAGAGTTGCATCCCAAATCACTACAAAAAATCCAGTCCTTGTTCCTCATCTAAGTATTAGGGGTTTTTCCAAGTGTTCCTTTATTTTGGATATTGAATTCTTTGCTTCAGATATGTTACACATTTAAATAATAGAGGCAGTATTCATGAGTACTGAGACTCGTGCCAAGCTAAATGTGATAATTTATGACATAATGCTATCTTCATGAATTGTCAGAATTACGATACACAAGCCACAGGCATAAAATTATCAAGAAAATTTATGAACTTGCAAAGACATCTTCACATTCAAAATGACCCTGTTAAAGCAATCAGAGGTGATTAATGGCCGTAAACTTAATTTCTGTAAAAGTCTGTGTCAAAACAACTGGGAATTTTGTCTTCTCTCATGCAGCTGGGGAGAGTATGAGTGGGGTGCAGATATTCTGAATTTGGTATGTACAGTATATTTTATCTGATTATATCTATTATATCTCATTATATGGATTATGCCCATCTGGATGGATGGATTTGGAAGGATCTTAGCAAGTAAAAGGAAAAATGCAGAGTGAATGTTATTCTCTTTTCTCCCAAATACTGAGTAAGGTTATTAAGAAGAATGAGTATGTAAAGTTAGAAGGCTGCACTTCAAGTCAGTGGTGTCTGAGTAGACCACTGAGTTTGCATTTAAGCTTTCCTTATTGTTACCACCAAAAAATACCCTCTTGAATGGGAATTCACAATACACATCCAAAGATACTCTTTAAAGGAAATTATTTCAAACCTCCTCATTTTAAATCAGCCATACTGTCCTTTATTAATCTCTAAGTGATATTTAGCCATTAGTAATGAAATGTAACATTTTCAGCTTAGCAAATGGTATCACGTGCTTGGAAAAACATCTTAGCATACCAGTATAAGAAGTCTCATCATTGCTAGAGCCTCCACTTCCATTGACACAACCTTTAAACTGTATTCGTATAGGAATTTAGTGGTTTTCATATCTGAGGAATAAAACCCCAAAACTTTGAGCCTTTGTAGAAGAATTCATCTCAACACTGACAATAGATTGTGTACAGAGAAAGGAGTGGCCCAATTTTGAAACTGATTATATTTCATGTTCCTGAAGGGTCCCACTGCTGCTAGACACTGATGAAGATGATACAAACAAAATTATGTGAGAATTAATATTGCAAGTGAACTTTGTCCTGACAAAATATACTGACTCTAATGCTGAGGGAATTAAGAAATGAAAAATTGTGTTGACAATACTAAAGAAGACCTAGAACCTCAGGAAAGAGATACATGTCTGATCATTCAACTAATTTTTTTGTTGTTAATTTAGCATTTAATCCTTTAAGTGAAGGACAGTTCTAACTTTTTTTTTGGACATGAAAGCTAACAGTCTCTTAGTGAAGGAAGGATTTCTTCTGTTGATCTAAAGTTAATAAGATTTTTCCTATCGTAACCAGTTTCTTGAAAACCTGGGGTGAAAAGGGTTCTGATTATGCCTGAGATGCAGCAATGCTACTTTCCTTCAATACTTTTCCATACACTAAACAGTTTTGCACCTTGGTGTTATGGTGTCCACTACACTTGCATTGAAACATGGTGTCATTTTCTTTTTCAGTCTGTGGCTCAGATTGCATTTTGCTTGGTTAATGGCAGCACAAAAACTCCCTTCAGTAATGTGGATTTTTTTCACGATAAATGTGCCACAAGAACATCCTCTGTAATAAAACACTCTTAAATGCAGTCCTGCTGCAGAATTACAGTAGTCTAGTTACACAAAAACTGTAGAACATGAGAAAAAAAATACTAAGTACATAAAAAATCTATTACCTGATTAT